TGGGCAACGATTTAAATTAACAACGAAACAGCCTAACAACTATTGTCAGCTTGTTCTACTCTGCAGACGCGCATGCAGCGCATACGCAATGCAACTGCAACGCGAATGAAACCGCCTAACCCTTGATAGGTGTTTAATACAACACGCCATAAAATGTGGAATAAATGGTGATTATCTCAATCTCATTACTGAAACATAAACACAAACCTGAAGTGATATAGGTGTCGCGATACTTTTCGGGACGGTGTGGCATCCAAATCGGTAAAAATGATACGTAATCTGCATAAATTTCGACGGTCCAATACCCAATTGCATTGTACGCCGTAATCAATTACTCTAAAAGGATAAGAATAAATTCTGCATTTTGAAACAATCAGTAATTAGCTAAGTCGTGAAATGTACCTGGCAAGATGGGGAGCTTGCTGTTCAGTAGTACGAACGGTTAGATGCTGAATGTTTGGCCAATAAATCTGCAAATGAAACAGATACAAAAATGCTATGCACTAAAAGTATAACGCTAATCCGTTAGCAAATTCAAGAGCACATGGCGCAATTACACCCAATACACAAAAACCAGAAATGCAGACGCTGCACTCCCGGATCTTAGCCAAAATGACATATGCTTTCGAATTTGCTAAAGGCGCTTCATTTTCCATCTACTCAGCGGCACAAACAAGCTGGGTTTCCGAGCGGATACAAATCTCTTTAGGGAAAAAATAATAGAAAATCCTAACCTGTCCAGGATTAACGAAATCACAATCCATATGCATATCTTCATCAAAAACATCCATAGCTTTCATGAAACACTGGAACGCATACCATCGATTCAAGTCCAGTGCCGACAGAGATACAACCAACTGCAAAATCCCAAATCGAAATTCAATATAGAAATTTTAACGATAGGAAAATTTGAGCTAACTTACCAATTCAGCAATCGGAGCATCAATTGTAGCTTCTAGTATCGTCTTACGATACACACTCATCGCTCCGACCACAGTGGATACATCACGTGAAGTCCACCTAAAATCACATAAATAAATTGTGGTATTCAGCTCTAATGAAAACCCCAAGTGGAAAGTTGACTAACCTTGAATCCACCACAATTTTTGCGGTATTCATACGCATTTTTAACGACACTTGAGCGTGTCGATGTCGTGCCCAGCCTCGGCCAGACGCTGTGTCAATGTCACGTTTCTCGACATTGAGGTGAGTAATCTGGAAATTTCTTTTTGTTTTCTAAGATTTTTCTAGAATTCCTTGAAATTTCCATTAATATATTTACCTTTTTGATTTTTCTATCCACATGACTCTTAATAGTTTTGCACACAGCCCTCATTCTAATCTGCTCGATTGCATCACATTGGTCAATGATACGCAAAAGCAGATCTTCGGGTAGGCGTGGCTTATCCTCCGCTCGCTCGTTTTTCAACAATCCTTTGCAGGAAGATGCTTTCCGCATCGTTTGCGAATTCTGCAAAATTGATA